AACTCGCTGTCATTCTGCTGAGGGGAAGCAAATGTTTATAAGAATAAATCCAATCAGCTTATGACAGGCCATCTGTTTTAAAGGGCCAATAAGTATTGTTACTGCCCTGCAGAACATAATGACCGTAATATATCCATGTGCGGGGTGAGAGAATTGTTGATCAGCTTCAAAGAGTCATGATTCTCCTGCCAGCTGGCTTTTAAAAACTTTGTGGGCTTTTAAAAGAAACGTAATCCCTTCAATAAAGTTAGTAAAGCTAAAAATAAGAGGTTAGGGTTATATTCTATATATATAATATTCTGAAATGGTATTTATGTCCACTTGATGAATGCAAGTCTTCATTTTTCTATTGGCTCAGCTTTGCTCACTGAGTAGACAAAATAATAGAACATATATATGAGTCAATACTCATTTGTAATGTTTATGTTACCTTTGAGGCCTGGCTTCAGCCTGTGTCGGTGAGTAAAAACATGTCATCACCATTTTTTAAAGCCATTAAGGAATGCATGTTTCATACATTTGCAACATGCCATTGTGTTATTTTAAAATGTTGAGAGTAAAATAAGGTGACAAAGTTGTGAAGGTTGTTTTTGTAAGTGTGATTTAGTGACTATAAACTACATAAGGCCCCACTATTAATTATAATAGCCACAACTATCCTTGTGTGACAGATAACTGATAAACAACATTTGAAGGCAGAACAAAGCCTGTTGTGTTATGAGTCAAACAGGGCACACTGCTGCTGTGTAACTGTTGCACATACTAGGAAAGACAATATAATCATGACAATGTTTCAAACTTAAAACATAAATGCAACTGCAAAGATTATTAGTAGTACAATACCTTGAACAAACAGGGAAGGACACTAGTGTAAGAGTATTGTACTTGACTGCATTATATTATGAGCCGTTTGTGTTTTTTACATTACATTACATTACATATCATTTGTTAGACGCTTTTATCCAAAGCGACTTACTCAGTACTGTGGACAATCCCCACAGGAGCAATTTGGGGTGAAGTGTCTTGCCCAGGGACACAACGACATGCTGACTGCAGTGGGACTCGAACTTGCTACCCCCTAATTCGAAGTCCAGCACTCTATCCACTGAGCCACAGCCGTTTACCCCCCGTGTATAAAAATGTGTATACGGCCAAAGTATGAACTCTACTATATTACACATTTGCAATGCCTAAAGCACTGCACTGAGTGAATGCTTGTCAGCTTTCATCAGGCATTTATATGATATTTGCATCATTTCTGACAAGGCGGTGAGACGCTGTCAGTTTACTGTATTGCAAAAATATTAAATATGAAACAGCTTGAGGCTCACGCTATCCACCACCTTAGCAATAATACTGTGTTATGAAGGTATTGTCGGAAATGAAGAGAAGAGAAGTTGTAGACATATTGGGTCTGTATTTATTATTTTGTTGCAACTAAGGCCTTCAACCAAATATCGTGGCATAATGAAAAAGTCTTGCAACATGTTTGTCCAATAAGAATCTAATTTAATGGTATCATAAGGTAAGATTATTTCCCTACAAATCATTTAATTCCACTTTTTGTGATTTTTTTAGGACCATTCATCTGCTTTTTTACAGTCAAGTTATCATCAAGCGACCTTGGGTCCCTTGAAAGGCGCTTTATAAATTCCATTTATTATTATTATTATTATTATCAAGCATGTTTGTGGTAAGACAATTTAACAAAACTGAGTTATCTCCATAAAAACGTCAAACAATGAATCTTACTGAGGAAGACCATGAGACCCAGAAAACTAGTTAGGGGACCTGGAATAAGGAGTGTTTATTTTGGTAACATGTATTTTCCTTTTTTACACCAACATCAAAAACAGGAAATATGTAAAACATGCTGTAAATTCAATATTTCAAGTTAATTCATGTTTTGTTATTAAAGTGGAAGTCGAGGGAAATCCAAATTTAAAGGATTTGTTCTGTTTAAAGTGCTACCATAAGGGGGATACCTTGTTTTGGTTGTATTAGTTCCCTGAACCTCAGTTTTTAGCTTAATGATATTTTGTATAGCTAAAGGGAAGCTGGAGGTTACAAGTTCATTATTTAATTTTTTTATAAGATAGCGGCTACAAAAAAGAAAAGTGAGGGGTGCATATCAGAGATAAATTATTGCAATGCTTAATACTTGCACTGCTGGACAAGAACAATGAATGTAAGCTGTATTTAATACTAAAAAAACATTCACTGCAGCACAGTTCTCCAGAGTACACAGCATGCTTCTGTGGTACCCTGCTGGATGCTTTGAAATGATATTTCAATTCATGATATTATTCTTCAATAAAAGCCCAGTGCTGCTGCCGCCAAGGCCCAACACGGCCACGCAGGAGGAGAAGTGATGCTGCGTCGGCTTCTGTTCCTGCTCCGTGGCTCTCTGAGCCCAGGGGCGATGTAGGGATAAAAAGGTTTGTGAGAAGGGGGACAGGGGCTCAGGGACGTGCCAGCAGAAGTTCCATTTAGATTAGACTGTTTAATGTCCTCTGAAATTTCCAATAAACGGCAGTTGGAACCGCAGCCGCTCTGTTGTCATTTGATTGTCCATCACCTCAGACGTAACCTTGTACAATGTGCTTTTGAATTGCTGCCCTGACTGGCCTTGTATCTCATGCTGTTATATCAACAACAAGCGATAAACCCATCTTGCAGTCTGCTGCTCTCCTCCCTGTAAGTCGATTCAGAGGCAGATACACAGGTGGCTGGAATGAGCCTAGCCAGCAGGCTGTCTAAACCAAGCGTTTCAATGAAATACGCTAAAATATAATGAATGCTTCACTCTCTATTGTAGTGCTCTCTACCACACTCTAAACATGAAGAAAAATGGTATTACTTAAACAAGAAGAGTAGGTGAGGATCTCCTCTCCATTACAGATGCCTGCTCTTTATAAAAGTGCTGCATGTTCTACAGCTTGAATGCCAGCACAGGGAATTAATAAGAGAAACATAATGTTGAGCATCCGTCAAAATGGAGTGGTTTTGACTATCCAACAAGCCGATCAAACATTCCTGGCTATGACTGCTCTGTAAAATGCCCACATTTAAAGCCCAGCGTTGTAAAAACTAAGATAAACAACGAGAGGTCAAACTCAGTAGATAATGAGGCACCCTGATGGACGGAATACAAATCCTTGGCCTTATAGAATCGCTTCAAACAGCAAGCCAAGATTTTCTCTGCTTCTTTTTTCTCCCTGCCTGACTCTGTGTTAATGGCAGCTGTTTCCCGCAGGACGGCTGTATGCTGTTCAAACATCGCTGCCATGTGCTGCACTGGTAATGAAGAGAACAGCGAGATGGCTTCGGATGCCACTGACTAATGAATCACGACACTGGTGGAACAAATCCCCCCCCAGCACCCCCTCTCCCCCACACACTTCCTAGTTGAAATACAATTATATTGCTAATGTTCTACCTGTTCTCTCATTGCATCCATTATTAAGTTGGATGGTGAGCAGAGGATTATGAGCTTCCACCTTTGAGAAATGGAGACAGAATTCATAAGAGTAACAATTATTTTTAATACGGATGTGGGGTAACATACATGCTCTACAAATCCATCGTTCATTCATTCTGCTCTTATCTTTGGATATTTGACAATACTGTATAACGCTGACACCTTACAATGAAGCACATACTCTGGAATGTGGATCAATAATACAAGGCTGCGAGAAACATCTGAATAGAATCACAATCATAAGAATGAAGGGTCGACATTCTTCCCTGTGTGACTTGCCTGACAAGACCAACACTCAAACTCAAAGGCCAGAAAGAACACAAATGTGAAACTACACACTTACGGAGGCCAAATGTTGTAAACATGTTGCTAAAAAACATTTTCCTGACTTGTAACATAACAATTTATTCTACAGCATTTCTATGAATTGTGTGAAAACATAGATGCTGAACTGCTGATGGAATGTGTTCATATTCTCCAATGACCTAAACCAAAACACCTTAGTAAAGTACATTTTTTTTTCCTTCCAAAAATGAAATATCACACCGATTTGAGGAAAGGGATTATTTCATTTTATGCAAAGATGTTTCAGCTGTTGGATGGTTGGATTATAGTAAATTATTGTATAGAATAACTTTGGATCCAGAGCCGTATATATACAATATTTAAGCCACAAGTCCCTTGGTTACATTTGGAGATAGAAAACTAGTTTTGGTTGTATGTTGATTAAGTAACAAGTCCTCTGTTGGGCTTTAATTAACTTTTTTTAACAGCCTTATCTACTGCTCTTACTGTGAGTATAATCATGCGTTAGCTGCTATTAGCAGAAGAAAGATTACTGTAGAAAGAGAAACAAAAGTTTAAAAGAGGAATACCAAGATATGCTCAGAATTAACGTTCTGTAGCTTGCCTGATATGTTAATTTTTAACCTTTTACTGTTAAAAATGATCATTCTGACTCATGAATGAACGACTCATTAAAACTAGTTGTACACATTTTAGACCTAATTTGCAAGAAACAGGGCAGCAGTGGGCTCCACCAATTACCAGGACACCTTGCTTCAACAAACATTGCTTTTCTGCTGTAATGATCATAACACATAATGTGATCCGAAATGTTACTTTTTACTTGGACCAACAAACATGTTAACACTCATATGAGAGACCTGCTGCAATAAAACCCTCACAGGACCAAGAAATAATAAAAACAATGTGTACCTAGACCTAATCGCAACCTGGGTCATGTCTCATTGGAAATGGACACATTAGTCAACCAATTATGATATGCACACCGGGGTTGGTACACTCAACTCACATTGAAAACCTGCTTTAACATTATAAATGACGACTAAAATGTCATAATGTATAATAAGACAATTTCACACCCCATCAGCATTCCACTCTCAAACCCTGAGAAGTTTAATTTTTCTAAGTAATGAAGATATCCGACAGGCCTGTGATGAAGTGCTATCGCACAGCTGTGTGATAGCAAAGTGAACTATGAAATATGATTTCATACCTGTGAGGTATTCTGGGTCGGGAATAGGGTCCGACAGCTCCTCATGGCACTGGACCTCTGTTGGCACCGATGCCACCACCATGCCATCTGGGAGCTGCTGCTCGATGCCTCGGGCAAAGTTCTTCTGCCTGGTGTGATAAGAAAGGAGAGATTGAGAGGTCCCATTTAGAGACAGAAGCACTCTGTCATCCCACATGGGAGAGAAGGCAAACAGATGTAGAAAAGCAAGTGTAATGGATTAAAGGAGAAATTACTTAAAAAACGTGATTGGTTCCGTTTGTACCGACCTCAGGCCAGATTCAAGTCAAGCATACTTCAAATATAAGGTGTCAAAAGGGATAATGTGTAAGGACAACTTACGTTAACATAGACAATCATTGAAACAAATATTCCTTTTGTTGCCATTGGGAGTGGGAATCAGGCTGCTACTGTTCATGTGCACCACGTTTCTAAATGATTGAGGTTTAGGAAAACAGAACAAACGGATAGATCTTTTTCATGTGTCAACAGGGACGTATTTAGGGGCCAACAATAGGTTTCAAGCATCTGGCCCCTGATTTTCAGATCACAAAACCCTAAGGAAGTTGCTATAGTTTTGTTCACATAGTGACCTTTTCAAAGATTTATAAGAACATTTAAAATAAATTAAAAACAATCCAACAAACTGAGCCTAGATAGTATAGATAATCAAAAATATCTTGAATGATGGAAACATGTCCTTCTAACAAAATTATACTTATACTAAACATTGCAAACATCTTTATCGCATCCTGTAACTTGTCTATGGCAATTTTCTTTAGACTATAAAATATCATTATTTCTCCGAAAACACTATTCTCCAATGACAGTAATGTGGTGATAGCCGAACATAAATAAAACTGATGAAAATAAATGAAGAGGATGAATGAAAGCCTGAAGGACTGATTACAAAAATCCTTGAGTGTCATCAGCGGCAGATTGTAAAGCAATATTTTCTGGCACGGCATTAAGGGGAAATCAATACATAGTAACACTTATGCAGAAAAAGTCTCACATAAAAAAAGCCATTCTTCATTATGGGGCTTCTACTGCAACGTGACTCATCTTCAGCCGGAGCCATGATGTCCTCATTTGTCTCTACCAGTGACTCTTGGTTGAACTCACTCATTTGGTCCACTCCATCATTTTCTGTCTCAATGCCAGTTAGGTTCACAACAAGGTTCCGCAACAGAATGGCTTCAATAAATCAGTAAGTTAAGTCACTTGCTTGTCTCAGGACCAAAGCTGATGAGAATATATCTTCATTTTCCTCCACTAAGGATCCATAGACCTCTGCTTATTTTCACACCAGACTCATCAATTTAAAATATACTACGCAACATTGTATATTAGCAATTGCAAAAGGCAGCCAGCAGGTTATTATTTTATTTAATACTCTCACTTAAAGTGGACCTATCATGCTATATTTGAATAATATATTGTAGGGCCATACCTATATAAGGTATATTTATACGTTTTCTTTTTCAAAATACCAAATTCATGCATTCATGCATTTTAGCCATGTCTCATTTCGCTCTATTTTGCTCTCCTCCACCCTGTCTTTGCATGCGCTGCAGCTGACCACGCCCCCCTGCAAAGGAGGGGGCCGAGTTACAAGCGTCGTGTTACCATGCTGTTACCATGCCACGGCAACCTCTCATTCCCCTGATAGGTCAGCTCCTCCGTCCTGATGTCAGAGAAATGTTCAAATCTGTATCAGTCTGTATCAGATCTGTTGCAGCCCCGTTTTTAGAGATTTGGGTATGGAGGAAAAGAGAGAGGGTTGTGTTTTCTGACACTTGGTGAGTTCCCTGGAACACCGGGGACACATATTCATGTATAAAAGACGTACAGAAGTGCATTTTGCATGATAGGTCCCCTTTAAAGCTGTCTTTTTTCCAGGGCCTACTTAGGGAAAACAAATGTCACAACCTCAAGACAATCACACACATTTGACATTTAAGAGTCTTTACGAACTGACGTTTACTAAGTAGTTAGCATTTAGTTAATTGTTTACCAGCTATCTTAAATTGCAAGCTGTCATTAAGACATATAGCCTTCACTCTGCTTTGTAGAGGTTTTAACTGAAAACAGTTACCTCCAAGTAAAGGAAAAGTTCCAGACCGTAAAACCCAAAACAATGAGACGAAGACATAAAAAGCTCTGTTTAGAGTTGAGAGGCAGATTTGGGTATATTTGGGTTTCTAATTGTATGTCACTTTCACATTCTCTTTTCGTTTGACCAGGGATAAATGGATATATTGTGTTAATTATAATGTTGTTCCTATTTGCATAGATTTGGTCATCAATTCCCATAGTAGAAGAAATTCTCTGCATTAAAGACAATGATAGAACAGAAAGTTGGTCCGTAAACTGTGATAGATGTTTCTTTAATTTTCAACTCAAACATTAGTTGATATGTTGAAAAATGTTTACAATGGTCAATTTCAGAAATAATTTAACATTGGCTTCCGTGTGACTGTAGTGAACACAATTATCATTCAACATACCATCATTATATTGTAACCCACTCAGGTTACCAACATGGCTGGACTGTAAAGTACTGCACCAAAGTACTCCAACGAGGAAGAAATATATACAGATGTAGCACTTCATTTCAGACGCCTACCCGTGCGGGTCCGTGATCTGCACGGGGTGGGCCCCTGCTGAAAAGGAAAACCCCCCGCAGGACTTGATACGCCCCCTTGATAAATCAATTTAATTATAATGAAACCAGCTGCAATGGATCATGGATCCACCAGGGGGAGCAGTGATTAAAAAGCTGCCACAGTGGAACTCATGTGAAATAAAAAATAAACAGCTGATAGATCTACAGTAGAGGTATCTGATATAGCGGATATTTGTTAAGATCCGTCACGGATAGGATCATATTCTGTGCTAATTAAGAGACATGTAATAATTTACAAAACATCACCATGTTTTTATTTAACAAAATAATGTTGTTTAATCCACGTTGGTGTAAGTACAAAACCATCGCTATGTTTTTTTGTCAGGAAATGCAGACCGGCTCATACAAACGATTTGTAATCATCATCCTCACGATCATTTAATGCAGGCATCCTCAAAGTCCGGACTCCGGTCCGGATCCGGACCGAACCACAACTGTCTCTGGACTCTGAGCAAATTATACTTTTCATATGTATTATCTGTATTATCTGTGTTATCTGCGAGACATCGCCACAACGCAACGAGTCAAAATTCTCCGCTATGCCCACTGCAAACAGCGCTCTGCATGTACGACTGTTCCACTGTCTGTGTGTGTCTGTCAACGCTTTGGTCCAATCACATTCAGCATCCCGTCAGCGTTTTTTTCCCCCACCAACAGTCTGCGAATCAGAGGCACAGTAGGGCGGGTCTTCGCGGAATGCGGGTAGGAAAAATGCGTGTGTGTTTAAAAAAAAAAAGTCAGAGCGAGAGTTCATCTAGTTGCATCTGTACTGTAGCTAGTAGCCTAGTTTCACCTACCGGGGTGGCAACTGCCACCCTAAAAATAGGCCTTGCCACCCCAGCTGCCACCCCAGTTGGCAGCTTTGTTTTGAAAGAAAAGTTGTGGCTCATCGGACATTTATGAGCGAAAGTCTCTAATGTCCGAGTGCAAGTGAATGCAGCACAAGACGCACGTCTTGTAACCCCTCCCCCAGCCCTGATTTCATTTGAACGGTACGGCGCAAAACAAGAAGCATTCGGACCCAACCAAGTACTGAAGGAATGAGGTATTTGCGGTCTACAATGACAGAGAAGAGACTGTCAAGTTTGGCTGTACTCAGCATTGAATCAAAACGCACTAAAGCTGTTGATCTTAATACTTTTGTGAGGCGTTTTGCTGAACAAGATGGTAATCGCCGTATTCAGCTGTAATAGACATGTCAACTTGATGCTCTGCTCACGGATGAGCATACAAAACAGTTAAGATGATGACCTTACGTGTGTAAATATATTTTTTTCTTTGTGGGGGTCTGCCCCCAAAAAACAGTGTTAAGTCCTGAGAAAGTAAAATAAGACGGTGTGTAAAACTACACTGCCCACTGCCCAGCCAAAAAAAAGTAACCACTTTGATTTAACTAGGCCAGTAGGTAAGGACATTCCACTGGATAATAACTGAAGTATAAAAGAAGACTGAAGTGATGGAGACCATGTTTGAAGGCAAACAAAAAGAGGAAATAACAGGTCAAATCAAGCAAATCCCCCTCTCAGATTCCACAGCAACCAGAAGAACATAAATACTGGCTGGTGATTTGATTAATCAGCTTTGTGATGGAATAAAAAATGCACAGTGCATTTCCTTAGCTGTGGATGAGTCCACTGACACCACTGACAATGCTCAGTTGTTGGTGTTTGTGAGTTTTTATGATGAGGCAAAGGGGGGAGTTTGTTGAAGATGTGTTGGGCCTGACGAAGCTCAGTGGACACACAAGGGGGCAAGACATTTATAAAGCAATAATGGGAATGCTGAATGAAAGACGGTGCAGCTGCCTTTATTCATAACTGTGCAGCTCTTACACTGCGACTCTGAGGGATCAAGCACAGACACAATAACAATGAAAACTGCTGCATACAGATTATTTTTGTTTTTGCAACCTCATGTTAAGAATCTTGTTGCAATTGTTTAAAAGTTTGAATGACCGTAATAAACGGACCTTTGTCTTATTGAAACAATTTTTTTGGACCTTTAAGATTTGTATTTGAGTACCCCTGATTTAATGTATCACATGTTCGCCGAATTGAAATGAATGCACTAATACATGTAGTTTAATCCACGTGAGTTACAAAAATAATCGGTTTGTTTTTATATCACATCCGACCGGAGGAAAATGCAGCACGGCTCTCACTACTGATAATCCAAATCCCACGGGCAAACAATAATATGTACAGTGTTGATAGTTTACTGTATTACTAGTGTCTAATATTACTGCTATAACAATCACACATTGAGTTGTTAAAATCAGACCGTTTTTTTTTTTTTAAACAGTCTGAATGAAACGGCAGCTCTCAGGTGATCAGCTGTGTGTTTACACACCTAATGGCCCATCAGCCATAGCTCTCTCTCCCACTGTTTCCACTCGGACTTCAATACAGCTACACCATTGTT